TACTCTTTGGTGACTTTTGCCTATTTTACCTATTTTTCATTTCCAACTCATTCCAAACCTTTCCAAAATCAGCCCAAACTTGTACAATATACATTTGTACATCAAACATAGTTGGTACAAATTCTATTACAAACAATTTCATATATTTGTCCGAGTTTTTACAATATTAACATTTCTACGGTTATAACCTATATGGTTCATTCCTATGCCATTACATATATTAAAATTACTAAACACTTTTATCATTATATTAATATCAACATGTGGCAGTTTACAATATGCTGACATATGCAATTATCTTGCTATAGTACAAATATCATTGCAATGAAGCATGGAGAATAGGTGAAGGTTTATGGCAGATGTGAAGTAATTTTCCTTTCAACAACGCATACTTGTTCAAGTACTTTCCTGACCAACTCATGAGGAGATGCGTACCTGAGAATGAACAACGAGGCATCCTTGCATTTTTCCATTCAGAGGCTTGCGATGGCCACTTCTCTTCAATGAAGACCTCGGCGAAGGTTTCATAATTAGGTTTTTATTGGCCCTCATTAATTAAAAACTATGTTTCTTTCTGTAAAGAATGCAATAGGTGCCAACATTTGGTATTGTGACCTGAAGGAACATGATGACCCTCTCCCTAGTACTTGTTATAGAGATATTTGATTGTTGGGGCATCGACTTCATGGGTCCCTTCCCCGTGTCGTTTGGCTACTTGTACATTCTGCTAGCAGCGGTCTATGTTTCCAAATGGGTGGAGGCTATCCTAACCAAGACTAATGACCACTGGNTCTTATGAAATTCTTCTACTAGAAGGAATATCAGTGTTCTACAGGCAAAACTCGACGTTCTACTGGTAGAAGAGTCTACTAAAAATGTTCTACCTATAGATAACGAAAGCTCTATCGATAGATCTCCCCAATTTTCCATTGATTCTATCGTTTTTCAATTCCAATTCATTCCAACCTTATACATNCAGTTTACAATATGCTGACATATGCAATTATCTTGCTATAGTACAAATATCATTGCAATGAAGCATGGAGAATAGGTGAAGGTTTATGGCAGATGTGAAGTAATTTTCCTTTCAACAACGCATACTTGTTCAAGTACTTTCCTGACCAACTCATGAGGAGATGCGTACCTGAGAATGAACAACGAGGCATCCTTGCATTTTTCCATTCAGAGGCTTGCGATGGCCACTTCTCTTCAATGAAGACCTCGGCGAAGGTTTCATAATTAGGTTTTTATTGGCCCTCATTAATTAAAAACTATGTTTCTTTCTGTAAAGAATGCAATAGGTGCCAACATTTGGTATTGTGACCTGAAGGAACATGATGACCCTCTCCCTAGTACTTGTTATAGAGATATTTGATTGTTGGGGCATCGACTTCATGGGTCCCTTCCCCGTGTCGTTTGGCTACTTGTACATTCTGCTAGCAGCGGTCTATGTTTCCAAATGGGTGGAGGCTATCCTAACCAAGACTAATGACCACTGGGTCATGGTCAAGTTCTTAAAAGAGAATATCTTTTCGAGGTTCAGGATGCCTTGTGCAATGATAATCGATGGTGGTTCATATTTCTGTAATAAGTCATTTGCATCCTTAATGCATAAGTATGGCATTACACACAAGGTGTCCACCGCTTATCACCCACAAACCAATTGCCAAGTCGAGTTGGCCAATAGGGAGATCAAGAACATCCTATGAAAAACGATGAACCCTAATAGGAAAAATTGGTCATTTAGATTGACTGTTGCCCTATGGGCTTACCACACTGCTTAGAAGACCATCTAGGCATGTCATCCTATAGGCTCGTCTATGGCAAGGCTTGACATTTGCCAATTGAAATGGAACACAAGGCCTATTGGGCCATCAAAACCTTGAACTTCAATTTGAGAGTTGCCAGAGAGAATAGGAAGTTAAAAATAAGTGAATTAGAGGAGATTTGTAGAGATGTGTATAGGAGCTCAAAAATTTCAAAATAGAGAGCTAAGATCTTTCATGACAAATCCATTGCAAGGAAATTATTTGAGCCCAGACAAAAAGTGATCTTGTACAACTCTCATCTCTCTATCTTTCAAGGGAAACTCCGATCTCGTTGGGATGGCCCCTATCTTGTCACGGTGGCCAACCCCAATGGAGCCGTGGAAATCACCAACCCCAAGGATGGCAAGACATTCAAGGTGAATGGCCAAAGACTTAAGCCATTTTTTTGCAGGTTATGAGGGTCAAGGGGCGGAGGAAGAATTGGTGGATCCAGTCTACCCGGACTTGTTGGAGGATTAACTGTTCATATAGTTTTTAGTGTACACTCAGTCGCTTTCTTTTATGATTGACTTTTCAAGTTATTTTGTCACTTATTTTATTTTTGCATATAGTGTTTTCTTTCTTAATGCAGATTTGGTGTTTTTGTCAAAGCTCAAGGGCGAGGTGTTTTAATACCCTTCTCATCTTTTTACAGTCCTTCACTACATATCATATCTTTTTTGTTGCATTCAGGACAATGCATGAATCAAGTTGGGGGGTGAGGTACACCAATTGTATGATACACCAATTTTTTTTGTGAAAATTTTTTGTTGATAATACCAATTTTTTTGGTGAAATTCACCTTTCACATGTTCTACAGATTTCTATTTAAGAATAGTTGAGCAATATGTGAAAACTTTTGTGAAAAATATCTGAATGTTGACCTATAGTCCCCTATTTAGAGCATTGTGGGTTTATGGATAGTTTTGATCATTGCTTTGAAATATGAATACATGAGCACATTATATAAGTTTATCCTATTGCTAAGAATATCACATACTTGTTTGCTTTTGAACTCAATCATAAGTGCACCATGAACTTATAATTTGGCAATTTATGGATTGAGTTCACATTTTAGTGCTTGACATGAATAGTGGAGATGNTGAATTGAGTTCACATTTTAGTGCTTGACATGAATAGTGGAGATGAGTAAGAACCCATGAGAGCTTTAATGGCAATCCTTGTTGGAGGGAACTTACATTTACTCAAGGAACAATTTTGCAAATTTCAAATTTGTTCAATAATCTCATTATGCTTGGTTTGGTTAGGTGCATTTGGGATAGTTTACTGACTTTGTCTTGATATGTACAATGCTCCCCTATGCCTATCTAGAAATGATCTTAGGATGTCCTTCATCTATTTTGAGTATTAGCTTGTTCATGTGAAATTATCCCTAGTGCCATGTTTGAGCATTGTTGAAAATTTGTTTTCATGCCACACATCTGACCAAGCTAGTGCAGAATGATAAAAATCTACCACACCTTAATTGTTCCTAGAGCTGAAGATGAGTGATCATAAAAGAGAAGGAATGGTGATGTAGAAACCCAATACAGGGATGAATAATGTGGAATGCAAATTTTGAATGAAAAAGAAAGAAAAATCCAAGAAAAAAGAGAGGGAAAGGGGTGAAGGAAGAAAGAATGATCAAAGCAGAAAAGCAAATGTTAAGGAAAATAAGAAAAATAAAAAAAGAGTGAAGTGATGGTGTAGACAGAACAAAATTCCATAAAAAGGGAGATTTTTTTTTAAATAAATGTCATGCGCTCGAAACAACCCTCTTTGTTATCCTATATCCTTTATTTCATTTGCCTGAATGTCACCCCAAGGCCCCATTATAGCCCTTGAAAGTTCTAAATGATCTAGAGAAAGCATGGGGATAGCATACTCTTAAAGAAAAAGAAAGGTTGATTTTTCTATCTAATGCCCTAGCATTCCTTACATGAGATTATGCAAAGGTTATTTTATTCTTATGTAAGTACTTCATTTTTGAATTATCTGAGAGCATACTTTATTTTATGCAAAAGATTCTACCTCACATATACACATGGAGAGCATGCTAGGATAACCATAGTGTGATTTATTGTTGAGAGACACCCTTGATGAGGTTGCATCAAAACTAAATGTGGATAGCCAGGTGAATGTGAATTCCGTTGGGTGAATGGTTAAATTACATGCCCATTTCACACACATACAAGTTTGAAAGTGAATGTATAGGTGCATACTCTAGAATAGCATTTAAAGCCATGGTGATGCTCATATGTGCTTTCTTCGGGCATTTGAGGAATGTATTTTGTAACCCTATGCTTAAAGGGTGGAGGAATATTGTTCAACTTTCGATATTTAATAGATTTAGGAATTTCCCTATCATTTGAATGTATGTGTTTCATTTTGGGTATTCATTTTGGTAGTTAAAATTAGAAATCCATGTCTTGTATTTTGAAAACATAAAAATTTTAAATCATGTTGCAATTTCATAAATGACTTTGGGCATGATCACTCAATTGTGGTTCACATGTGTGGTTCAAGTTTTTGGTCGATTAGATGTCATAGATAGGTTGTTAGAATGTTTGGGATTTGGAAAAAGTTGGGTTGGGTATGAGATTTGGAGCATAGAAATGGTTTTGTAGCAAAGGCAAAACCTTCAAAAAGGTTTAGTATAAACCTTCCGGAAGGTTTTTTCCAGTGTGCAAAAGCTTCTGGAAGGTTTTTATCGACCTTCTGGAAGGTTTTCACTATTGGACAACTTTTGCCTCAACAGTAAGAAAAACCTTCCGAAAGGTTTTCATCGACCTTCTAGAAGGTCTTGCCTAGATTGCAAAAAAATGAGGGTTTAGGTTCTAATTTTTTCAGGAAACCCTTCACATTTCCTTTAAATCTTACCCTCCCAAGCTCTCTCCTCTCCTTATACTCTCTTCCAATCCTCAAAATATCTCACCAAATCCCTTAAATCTTACTTCTCTTTTGATTAGGTTTGATTTTGAGTGAATTTTGCCAAAACTTTTGGTGTTCTCACAAAAACCATAAGTCACTAAATTTTCCCCCAATTCTCAAGTTCTCATTGATCTTCTCCAAAACCTCTAACTCCCTTGCTATGGCTCATTTAGGAAAGACCTCCCTCGACGCGTTTGAGCCCATTGAGTGGGTTGTGATGTGGCTCTCATGGCCCTTATTATAGAGGAATTGTTATTATAGAGGAATTGTTGGTCCTCATGGCCCACACCAAACGTACGGGTCTGGATACCCACCACCCACGGGCACTAGCTCCCATAAAAGTAATATGGAGGGCCTAAGTAGTGGAGACTGGGAGCAGAGAAGAACAAAAGTGAGACACGATGCGCATAGACAAAGGATCAATGAGACAAAGGTCCAAACAATGAAGTGGTGAAAGTGATCAAGGGACATGGTTTGGGAATCTAGTTTGAGGAGGAAAGTGGCTACAACTTGGGGTTATGTAGAGAATTATATAAGAAATTGTTGGTGTTGGGAGAGGATGGTAGTGTGCTAAGGATGAATGTGAGGGGGAAGGCGTTTGACGCGACCCCGGACCTGATTACCACATTAAAGAGGTATCAGAGGCCTCCCCCTACTACCCCAGTCTGCCCACACAATGTTGAAAGGAGTAGAACCTTCTCTGATGATGTGCAACTCACCTACGAGGACCCGACCACATTCAAAGGGGCAACCCTAGTCGGGGGCCTCAAGCACTCTTAATTTAGTGCCTTGGGATTCCAATAAGAGCTCGAATGTTGAGAAGCTCACCCTCCTCCATGCATTTATGATGGGGGAAGGCAATTGTGCCCTTTTGATATGGCAGGAGATGAAGGAGTTCTCTCAGGCTGCAAAGTCAAAGGAGAATCTCCCTTTCGGCAATCTCATCATGCGGATGTGCTCTCACTGCAAAGTGAAGTCCTATGCACATGATATGCTACTACCCCCTAAGACTGGTGCCATTGGGAAGTCAAGTAGCAACAAAAGGGCAGCTAGGACAAGGGGTGACAGAGCCAGAGCATTAGGACTAGAGTCATCTTCAGTTGGGCCAACATCCTCAGCACCTTCTACTCCTACCCTAGCATGTTCCATGTCACAACATATGAATGCCTTGGAGTCTACTATGTATGGGCTATCGATAATGGTGACTAGGTTATTTCAGCATACATTCCCAGGTGAGCCTATCCTCAGTGGACCTCTTCCGCCTCCAACTAGACCATCTACCTCAGCTCCCATACCTTATGTGGTTGTTGAGGAGGGAGAGTCTAGTGATGATGATGATGATGATGACGAGGAGGATAGGAGTGAGTCCGAGAGTGATATTGAGGATGAGGATGCTAGTGATGATGATGATGGGGATGAGGGTGGTGATTAGGATGTTCTCTTGTGTTTTGTGTCTTTTGATTTTAGGTTGTACAGTAAGGGTTAGTTTTTCGGCCCAGTAAAAGCACCTCTAGGATTTTGGGTCGTTTTGTTTTTAAAACTCTAACCCATTGTATTGAACTTTTGTGATTGATTAATGAAAAATACCATAGTTATTTCATTTTATCATTGCCCAAGTCCATATCTTTAATTGCATTGTATTTTTGCATTTTGTATGTTTGATTATTTGCTTGTACGAATGGGATTGTTGTAGTTGCACACCTTGCGATTTGTAATTAAAGTTTGCTAGGGACTATCAAAACTCAAGTTGGGGTGTGATTAGCATAGAATATTGCTTATTATATATGCATTTTATACCTTTTTATACTTGCTTTTGTTGTGAATTTGGGGAGAAATACGACTAAGCTACCTGTTAATGATATTTTGTGTGAATGTAGGAGAAGTGTTGTAAATGTCTTGAGTTAAGCCTTCATCGTAGTGCTTAAAGACAATGTAGATGAAGGGATAGCTTAAAGACAGGTTTGGAAGGTGAATAAGCCAAGGAAAAGGCAAATTGGATGAAAACCTTCCAGAAGGTTTGGCCATAAACCTTCTGAAAGGTATGCACTTGGTCTGCCTATGCACTGCCAAAACCTTCCAGAAGGTTGGACTTTGGACTTTGGAGGCCCAAGCATTTATAAGGAAGAGAGAGAAGAGGGAAGCCTTGGAAGTTAGAAGATAGGCTTGTCCAAGCCTGTGAAAGCCATCTACTTAGCCCATCCCCCCCCCCAATTGATGGGAAGCCTCTCACATAGGCTATAAAACCTCCATGGATGAAAATGAGCACATCACTTGACATTTTTAGAGCATTGTTCAGCATTGTAGAGAGAAGAACCCAAGAACAAAGACATAGTTATAGAGAGAGAAGTTAGATTTTTGCATTTCCTTTACCCATTTCACTTGTAATCTACTTAAAGACTCTTGTAAGCTTCATTTGTTGCACTTAATGTCATTTATTTCAAGTGTATTGCAAGTTTGGTCAAGTATCTTTCATTCTACCATTGTTACATTCAAGTATTTCACTTTAAGCTTTTAAAATGGGTATTAAATGCACTTCTTCATAGTTTAACTTTTCCTGCATTAATTTAAGTTCCAATCTTCATTTCTTCACAATGTCTCTTTACTTTATGTATCGTCTTGCATTAAATATGAGTAGCTAAGCTTTAAGTTGGCTAATCCAATGGAGAATTCCTCTTGGGTGTGCTAAATCAACTCTTTTTCATTCCTCCTTGTAGTGTAAGATGGTTTGGTTGGACTAGGTGAAGTGTGGACGTGGTTGTGAGTTCTTGATACACCGTGCACTTGTCAAAGGGTATGCTTCAATCCTCACCTCTATTTTAGTCCTTCACTTCCTACGAATCAATCAAACATCTAGGAACCATTGGAAGAATGTCTTGAGTTGATTCGGAATTCCCATTAGAATGACCTCTTTGGATTTTCCAATACTTGTTTCCATTTCTTTTCATCAAGAATACAACTCACCAAAATACATATTCAAAAGATTTTTACACTTTTCTATTTTCACCAAATCAACTTCAACACAATTCACCTTCCTTCCCTGAGGAGGGGACCTTGGAATACCAATTCCAAGTAAAACATAACACTCGAAAGTCTCTCTATGCTTGGAGAGCACTTTTGTACACACACACACACCTGTTTTTCCATTTCTCGCATGATATCAGAGGGAAAGTAGCACTCACCTAACCATATAAGCCACATACACATTATCAGAATCATGGTCAAAAATTAGGAATGACGAAATAAGTCAAGCAATTATCAATGTTGGTAAATCAATAGTGTGTATCATTCCGAAGGGATATAGAAAATAGGCTCTGTTAGTGTAGATTTGGTTTTTTTGAGACTAAGGCAACAGATTGTTCACAGTAATCAAGTTCAGGATTCTGTATTTATCATTTAAGTCCCTTTGCTTAATGTACTTATTCGGTCTACCCCTGACATATTCTGGATTCCCAGTCAACTCAATCCCAATAACAGTCATATTAGGCAATGCGGTATAGGGATACTGTGGATGCTGATACCTTGGGATTGGATTCAAAAAATTAATAATGGTAGCTGGTGTAACTTGAAACACAACTCTCCTAACATAAATACGAAATTACCTTAACCTGATTTCTTTTGCAGTACTATAAAATTCTCAGACTAAACATTCATATGCAGGACGTACCAATTTCACATAATTAAGCCAACCTCGGGCTGCTAAATTTTTGCCTAACCCATATTTGTTCAAAATTCTCATATACAACAGGTCGTCAGCAAGAATAGGCTTAGAATAAAAATAAGTATCATACCAAAACTGGTTATTAGTATTCTCAAACATGGTAGCATCAAACACATTTTGACCCTAGTGTTGTTCTTGTTGCTGCAGGGCTGCTTTAGGCGATGACGAGGCCCCTCGCCTTGCTCGGCCCAATGAAGCTCTTGGGTCCATGGATTCTTGAATTTTTTGATAAATAAACTATCTCAAAGATTTTTAATCAATGAAAAACCTGTAAAAGGTAATGGGTAAGTGTTTAATCGGAGTAGAATTTAAGAAAAACTGATAAGTAAGGAGAATCTAAAGAGATAAGATGAAAGGTTCTACTTTTTTTTTTTAATTTTTGCTGCGAGGGAGATGCTGGACTAGTTTCTGCGAGAACATGAGCTTTTATACTAGCCAGTACTGTCCAGACGCTATCAGCATCGTCTAGACGGTGTTGATCCTCTGGATTTCCCTTAGGCTTACAAGCTGCTGACCCTTGATCTCCTCCTAGTTTCCAGGTTCGATTTTTCAGCCTTTAGTTACATAAAATCAATTTAAATTCAAATAGTTACACATTTAACTATCTAATAACTTAAATTAACACATAAAATCAAATTATAGTCATATACCTTCATACACATCATAAGATTAACAACTTTGATCATAATTAATTTTAATCAGAATATTCTAAACCGAGAACATCAGTGAACCAATTAATCTTGTCGCACATATATTGAAAGCATGGGACTAGAACAGGATGGCGTCTCAGGGTAATCCTTACTTTGCCCATACTTAATCTAGTCGAGATGATCCAATGCTAGACCTGAAATGGGTTCGACACATTGTTTAAATCCTCTCATGTATTAATTGACCGCACTTTACACAACCACCTAGTCGATTTGCTCATCGGTGTTTGGCAAATGAACTTTTTCCCGCAAAAAGGTTTTGCTTGATTACCAAAAATTTCTAATTTTCTTACAACCTTTGCTTTTGCTATGGTCAAAAAATGTATATCTCTCAGAAAAGTATGTAACATACCCAAACTAAACCAAAAAAAATTTCATCAATTTTTGAAAAAAATTGAAAAGTTTTGAAAGAGATATTAGAAAAGACTCACTATCTGGTTATTTAACGTCTACTGAACACAAAGACGAATATAGATTGTTCCCTCCCCGACCTAAATTCAACATTGTCCTCAATGTATAACATTATGAAGTAAAATTATAGACAATTGCTAATAAAATTTGGAGGCGAGACAAATTCACAGTGTCAAACCCTAATTTGTAAAACAACAACAAATAGTTAGTACTACTATTTACAATCAAATATTCATAAAAAACTTTTCAAGGCACATATTCATGTTCCACTAACTAAATGGAATTCACATTTTGAACAAATTCATCATGATATGGCTTAAGTCTTTGACCATTCACTTTAAAAACACTACCAGTTAATGGATTCTTAATTTCAATTGTCCCATGTTCAAAAACTTGTTTAACAAAGTAAGGGCGTATCCATCTTGATTTCAACTTTCCTTAAAATAAACGAAGCCTTGAATTATATAACAAGACTTTTTGGGGAGGTTCAAAGGACTTTTGCACAATATTCTTATCATGAACAGTTTTCGTTCTAGACTTGGCAATCTTTGCATTTTCTTATACCTCATGTCTCAGTTCTTCCAATTCATTAATCTGAAGTTTGCGGGATGCACTTAT